GCTGCTTTTCAGATCATCTTCCTGACTGCACATCCCTTAGTCTCTATGCAAGTGACACATACTCCCCCTTGACCTGGTTTTGAAGGATACTGTGCTTTAGCTAAGGCCCAAGCCTGCAGGCCCCTGTTTATCTGAGAGAGGGTATTTGATGTACTAGTGACCTTTCATCAAGCCCAAGTAAAATATTTTCTCTTGGAACATCCTAGAAATGAGCCGCTGTTACTTCTGAGTGACATGAAATTGTGTTAAGCAAAAGCAGTGACTGTCCTGGGTCTCACTTTTATATTTAGGAAACTGAGCAGGACAGAGAAAGAGAAAAAGGAACACACGCACATATATGCACAAAATCAAAGATATTTGTAAAAGGTGCTCATGGAGTAAAGGCAAGGTTCTTTTTGGATCTATACAAACAGGTGCTGGGTTTCTTTTCCTTCCTTATGAGGAGTGTCGTCAAGCTACGACAAATGGAAGAGCCTATTCTGTCTGAGGAAAATGACTCCAGATGGATTTAGCTTGATTTAACTCTTTACAATTCTGAATTTCCTCCCTCATTTCTTACGCTCTCAAATTATCTTATCCATCCAGCTCAAGGTTATAGGAAGAAAGAATCTTAGTGTTCTCTTCTGAAGCCCTTTGTTTTCTCTTTAATTTTTAAATAAAACTCAAAAGAGGATTTAGTAATACATATTCCTTAGAGAGATTAAATTTAAAAACATTTCTGTAGTCTGATAAGCATCTGAACTACTAAATTTTTCATTTTATGGTCAGAGCAGATCACAGAATGTAATTCCTATTCAAATTTTAATATTAGAAAAGTAAGCAGAAAAAATCAATCCTGAAGAAAATTTACAATTCATCAAACTGTGCAGGTTAAGTTTACGTTATAAAAGCAAGGCAAATAAAAAAATGAGGATAATTTTTTTAAATTAGAAAGACCACCTGATAAACTTATTAATTACTTCAAAAACAAAACAAATGTTATATAAATAAGATTAGTGTACTAATAAATGTCTCCTTAATCAGAAATACGTAGAGTCCTGTTAGGTAATCGTTTTAACTGAAATTTAATGATTCTTTCGGATCACCTCCAGTTTGCAACTCTATTAGTTCATAATGCCTCAATAGATGATTATTACTATGATGTTTTTTCTTTTTTCATTTTTATAGTTGTTTTATGCAAATATAGCATACATACAGAAGAGTGTACGAATCATACATTTACAGTTCAAAGCATTTTCATATTGAGACGGCTTTGTGTTTTTTCCCAGTCACCATCCTCTCCATCAAAGGTAATTACTGTCTGGCTTTCTATCATAGACATGTTTTTCTGTTTTATAATTTCATGTAAACAAAATCATCCAGTATGTATTCTTTTGTGCTTGCTTCTCTCCCCTCCCCCCCAACATTATTTTTGTGAGATTCACTCTTATTGTAATAGTAGTTTGTTCATTTTCGTTGCTGCATCATATTCTGTGGTGTGGATATATACTAATTTATGTAATAAACCACTCCTTGGGCTATATCCAGGAGAAATGTATAGAATGTGTAACAAAAGACAGGTTTAAGGATGTGCATAGCAATGCTAGTCCAACCTAAACGTCTGTTCATCCAGCATGTTTTTGTTCATCTGGTGGCTTGTCCTTGTTCTCTTTTAAAGATTTCTTTTGAAGAACAGAATTTCCTTATTTTAATGTAGCCCATTTTATCAGTTTTCTTTCTCTAAGGGTTATGCTTCTTGTGTCCTGCTTAACAAACTTTGCCTAGACCAAGGCCATTAATAAAATCTATGTTATTCTAGAGAAACTTGCCTAGACCAAGGCCATTAATAAAATCTATGTTATTCTAGAGAAACTTTATTATTTTACCTCATATTTAGACCTGCAATCCACTTAGAATTTTTTTTTTTTTTTTTAATGATAAAAGGTAGGGTCAAGATTCATTGCTTTTTCCTTACATGGATTTCCAATTTAACCAGAATCAGTTAGCTCTTCAATGTCACCTTATCCTATTGGTTTTATTTGTTTGTTTGTTTGTTTGTTTGTTTGTTTAAATTAATTATTTTTATGGTGACATTGGTTAATGAAATCTAATGTTTCATCTGTACATTTTAACAGTAAGATATATATATATATATATATTTACACTTTGTGTTCACCTCCTATAGTTAGATTTTCCTCTATCATATTTGACCCCCTTTACCCTGTGTACCTCCTCCTTCCTCCTCCCACTTCTTATTAGTTTTAAATAACATTAACAAAATAGAATAAAACTTGAGAAAAATGTTCTTTTCCATCACCTATATATCTTTCTGTGCATATGAGTATCTGGAATCTGTGGTAAGAAGTTTCTGTAAATTTTTTTTTTTGCTAAGGCAAACTTTTTTTTAGATACATTTTGGAAGGTGTGTTTAATAAATTACAGAGAATGAAAGTTTATTGCTTTGCAATAGCCTTTTATTTTCTTGCCCTCAGGAGAGCTTCCCAATTAGAAGGTAAAGCTAAAAGTGAAACTAATAAACAGGGATCAGACTGTGATCCTTAAACTAAGACCATAGTCTTGGATTTGTGCCATGGTCTTGAGAAAGCAACTTAAATTGGTTTTTGTTTTGCCTCTAAAATAATAATAATAATAATTGTCAAGAAATAAAATGGATAATGCTTAAGGTTAAAATTTTTTCCCCAGATAAAAAATATTTTTGCTGAAGAAAAAACTGTGCTTTCATAAAAAGAAAAAAAAAAGCATACTTATTGAAATGTAGTTAGCATCGTAGAACTGGAAGACACTTTAGCTTCTTGGATTATTGAAATATGTAAACTTTTTTTTAGTCTTGACTTCCAAGGGTCAAGAAAAACCACACGCTTTGCTTAGGTGTCAAGAGAGGTAACCTGATGACAGTGATATAGTTCAAAGAGCATTGGATTTGGATCCAAACTTCTGGGTTCCCATTCTTGTTCTGCCACTAGAGATTTTTCAACTCTTCTTTATTTTCTTCTTTCATACAATTAAGTAGGCCACGTCAGTATTCTTTTTTTTTTGTCCTGGTGTGACTATACCATATTTATTTTGTTGCCTACTCCTGTGTGTGTGCCTGGGCCACAGTCTGATCCCTGTTTATTAGTTTCATTTTTAGCTTTACCTCCTATTTGAGAAGCTCTCCCGAAGGCAAGAAAATAAAAGGTTATTACAAAGCAACAATCTTTCATTCTCTGTAATGTATTAAACATACTT